TGAGGGTGTGGTTTGCTTCTTTGGACTGGTCCTTCGGTTGTGCTTTACCGAAGTGTCCGTTGTGTTTGAAGAATTTTGGCTAAAGGACCTAGGTGTAGTTTCTGACTTCTGGATGAGTTGATGGGTTTTCGAAAAATGTGTAGTGTGTAAAATACCCTTCATTTTTTGTTCTTTTAAGGAGTTTTGTGACAATGACTTGACCTTATTTTGAGAGTGTATAGTGATGTTGGTTTCGAAAGATTTTGCCACTGTAGTGTGATTTTGAAAAGTTTTTGTAGTGATGGGTTATTCGAAATTCCCTTTTGTTTGAAAATTTGGCTTGAGGTTTGAAAGTTTTATTTCTTGACTCAACTTCCCGCTTTTCACGTCGGGATATGATTTCATTTTTCATAGCCAATTTTGCTTCAACTTTTGGTGTGACAACATCAGAAGCATTTAATTGAGGTTTTTTGAAATTCTTTGATCTAGGTATTGAGCTAGGAGTTGAATCATCAGAACTAAAGAGTTCACGATTCTGGGAGCATTGTCCAAACTCAAAATTATCAATGGAAAGTTCATGTGAAATAGGCTGAAGAGTAGATGTGAACTTGAATGTGGTCTGCGGTAATGAGGATTGGAGTACCGAATAGTAGGTTAAAGGCAAATCTTTGTTAGGACTTGTCTTGGTTTCAAGTTCTTCCATAACAATTTTTTCATCCACTACAAAACTAGACTGAGAGCTGGGACTAATTGTACCGATAATAGGCAAGAAATTTTCCAAGTTTCCCAAGGATTTAGGATGAATCTCCTCGATCACATAATTGTTACTGAGAACATGAAGTCTACTGAAGTAACATCGAATGTCTGCGGGAAAGGTCTTGTCATCGACTCAATAATGAAAGGCCCGGTCTGGTGGGACATAAGGACGTTCGGCATCAAACCGAGGATGCAAGTTCTCTTCGGTAGATTACCCAGTGGACCATCCCCAATTATATGTGTTATCAATAGTCCCATTATTAACTAAGTTTTCAATGGCCTCACTTTCATTAAATAACTTTTCAATTAAACGATTCAAACATACAATTTATTTTCAGGCTAAATTCTGTTAATTGAAAGCAACTTCTACCTGAGTCTCACTAAGCAACCTAGCATATTTTTCTAACAGAAAAACTTTTTCTAACATTATGACCTTAAGCTTCTTGTCTTCTAGTCTTCCTCTCAAGTGATACAGCTCTTGGGTCGCTAGGTTCTTTTCATCTAAGGCTTTGTTGTAGTCTGTAAGGATGGCATCACACGTTTCATTAAGTCTTTCTAAGTGATATTCACAATCATGCATGCTATAATTATTTCACTGAATCATAAGTTTTACCTATTCAACGATGCTGAGGGTCCCTTCCCTTTCCATATAGCAGTAGTTCCTATGCAAGTTGGTTGATCCATCTTCATCACTTGCTGCCACCATGCATATCTTTCCTCTATTCCTTTTGTTGTTAGGTTCCCCATCTTCATCACCCAGACACCAAACCTGATGATCCCTTCGAACTTGAGCTATACATGCTTTTGCCTTTTCTTTCTCCTTATCATCCATCTCCTGAGCCATTCTAAGATAAAATGCTTTGTCTTTCACCACATTTGCTTTATAGTCTCTTGCAAAGTGTTTTTCCTTGTGACATTTGTGATAGACAAGAAATCCATTCTTGTTGTCTTCGGTAGTAGTACCAGAGTCTGGAGAGTTGTTAGTCTGTGGAGTTTCCTTTATTTGAGGAGCATTCTGAGGCTGAGGTTGGTGATGAGGGTTTCTTGGATATCGTTGATGATTGTTCTATGGATTGAAGTTTCGATTGAAAGGTGGTTTAGTGAATTGTTGGATTTTGCGAAAAGTGGGTGGTGGGAGTCGATTGAACTGTTTACTGGCAAGGGCTATGGCATTTTGGATTTCTTCCTCATCATTTAGTTCGACATCTGCTGCATATGACTGCAGTGAGTTATCATATGGATGTTGATACGATGATTCTTTGGGGTAGGGATACTGAGGTGCTTTAATGGCATACTGAGGAGTTTGAGACATTAAAGCAAGTGATCTACCCATATCTGCACATTCTTTTAACATCATGGATTCTTGAGCTTGAAGTTCACCGTAGAGTTTGAAAAGTGAAGGAGTCTGGATCTTCTTGTGTCCTTGAACTATCATTTTTAAAGTCGTCCAATGTCTTTCTAGACCATTCGGGAACTATAGGTTAGTTTCATGGTTGCTTCTGACGGTACCAACGTTTGAGAGTTTAGTGATTATGAGGTTGAATATCTTGAAGGAGTCATCAAGACTTTCACCAGGTAGAGCTTTGAAGTTGGTGAACTCGTTGAGAGCAGTAGTGAGCTTATTGTCTTGAGCTTGTTTAGACCCTTGGTAGAGATTTTTGATTACATCCCAAATCTCTTTGGCAGATTCACAGTTGATGATGATGTCAAAGTTGTCAAGAGCAACGCCACATGAAATTTCGTAAAAGGAAATTGCATCTTTCTCCATCATTTTGAGATCATCGTTGGTAGGTCTGTTCATGGTTACTAGACCACCTCCAAGTCTTCCTTGAGCACCATCAGCTGTAATGGGAGTGAGAATAGGGACACGAGGTCCTTCTTCTATAGATCTCTAAACATCTCTTCCGAGTCTCTTTAAATATCTTTCCATTCATTGGGACCAATTATGATATTCACTTGCAACAAGTATTGGAGCTCTATTAGAACCTCCAACACTGTTTGAAATGTTTAGAGAATAAGCTTGTGCCAATTTTCATTGTTTTAAGGAGCTTTAGTGGTATAAAAGGCCTTTTAAATCAGAGCTTGTTGAAAAAGAGTTTCGTTTTTCTGAAAGGAGTTAAAAACAATCACTGTGGCTCTGATACCAATTGTTGAGAGAAGAACTTAATAAAAGTTAGTAACAAGATAATATATTGCGGAATAATAAGTTAATCTCAATGGATATTTGTTAGCTCAATAATAATAGTTAGATTGCGGAAATATAAGGAATGTAAATAGCAGTAATTTTATATTAATAAGAATTAAGAAAATAGACATTTAGTGGAATCGTAACATGGTTTGCATTCAAACACAAGTTAGCATATGATGAAAAACATAAGTAAAGAGGGACTCGGTATATATATATATATATATATATATATATATATATATATATATATATATATATATATATATCTAATCTTCTATAGCCTTCTAATCTTCAAATCTTCTATAGCCTTCTAATCCGGGTTCTATCACTACTAGAAAAACAGCCTTTTACGACGCGCAATGCACGTCGTAAAATGCTCAGACGACGCACAAATGCGTGTCAAGGAAGGCCCTGTCATAACGAGAGACGACACGCATTTACGACGCACGTTTATGACACGCATTTACGACGCACATTTATGACGCGCAATGCGTATCAAGGAAGGCCCTGTCATAAAGGAAGACGACACGGATTTGCGTGTCGTAACCTTACGACACGCGTGTTTATGACACACAATGCGTATCAAGGAAGCCCATGTCTTAAAGGAAGAAGACACACATTTTTTTGTGTCATAATTTTAAATGTTTTTAAAATTATATATTTTTGATAGATTTACTAATTTTCAAATTAAATAACACATTAAAAGTCTCATAATACAAAATAAAATACCATAAAAATAAAGATAATTCATTGCACTAATATGTCAAATATAAATAATCATTCCAATAGTAAGTAAATGTAACACATTGCTAATATTGCATAATATTTATTATAGAAAACAAAACATGTACAAAATTAAAAGAAACCCATGACTAAATTATCCTTTGACAATCTCCTTTGACAAATTCCTTTCTAAAAGAATAACCTGATGCAGGAACTTTGAGAGGCTTCAGGGCATGGAAGGAGGTTGCTAGAGCTGTCAGAACCTGCACATGGCAAATCGGTAACTTAACATGCAATACAATACAAGATGATATGATAGAGCTGGTATGGCATCCAACTATATATTTTTTTGTCTATTTTCTTTGCCAATGCCAATTAGGCCACTAAGCTTAGGAAAATGATTCTTTGGATCATTTTGTAAATAGGATTTTGAATATATGGTTAGCAAGTGCTGATGTGGGTGATAATCAACATTAAAATTGTAAATGCAGTGACATATTTAACATACAAATTATAAATTCAAAAGTCATTTGCATTATGTCTCCAAGTTTGTGTATTCCTTTGATATAAATTATAAATTCAAAATATCTCATAAATGATAAGATTTACGTATTATATAAAAATCAGGTCAAAACAGGAAGTGGGGTAGATAACATACCTGACTTGAGTATTTCTTTTCCTTGAATATTAAAAATAAAGCTGAAATTCTATGTGATCAAACGTCTCTTCCTAATGTCCCGAATCTGAAATTCTTCAACTTCCATTTGAAAGAAATTCAACAACTTAGTGTTGATGTCTTTTAGCTTCAGTGAGTAAGTGGACTTCTTGATGATTAATGCAAATATTTGAAGAACAGATGCTATCATAAAAGATGTTAAACGGTGAATTTTGCTATTCTTACATATCCAATAAGATTGAAAGTATGGTCATGATGACCGAAACTGCTATTTCTTCTTTCCACTGACGATTTCCAAGATCAAGACTCCAAAGCTGAAGATATCAGACTTGATAGAGAAAGTCCCTTCCATTGCATACTTAGGAGACATATAACCACTGATACAACAAGATCGATATGACATTTCAATAATTGACCATGGAAACATATAACTTAATTGTAATTTTGATATTGTAACTTTGTAACTAAGACAACTTACTATGTTCCAACCACTCTGTTAGTGATTGCCTCGGTCTCATTTTGCTTGAATATTCTTGCCATACCAAAATCAGAAATCTTCGGGTTCATACTCTCATCTAAAAGAATGTTGCTAGCTTTTAGATCTCGATGGATAACTCTCATCCGTGAGTACTTATGCAGGTATAACAACCCTTGAGAAATTCCTTCAATTATGTCGAATCATTTACGCCAATCCAACTCTGTCTTTCTGTTTTCATCAGCAAGACATCGAAAGAAAAGAGTCTTTTACGAAAATATCACAAGTAAAACCATTGTATACATTTATGTTACAAACATTTCATACCAAAGAGGAAGAAATCTAAGCTTTTGTTGGGCATATATTCGTATATTAACATCTTTTCTTCACCATGAATGCAACAACCAAGAACCTGAACAAGATTTGTATGCTGGAGTTTAGCAATAAGTACTAGTTCATTCTTGAATTCCACGAGCCCTTGCCCTGATGTTCTTGAAATCCTTTTGATTGCAATTTCTCGTCCATCACTTAGTCTTCCCTGTTTTTTATAATTTCATGATCTCTCTTTTTGTCAGATTAGAGGTACAAATGCAAAAACATAAAACATGCATCAAATTAGTTTAAAGTAACATAACCTTGAAAACAGGTCCAAAACCACCTTGTCCGAGCTTATTCTCAAATGAGAAATCATCAGTGGCAGCCATGATAGAGGCAATTCTAAATAATAACAAGTCATTTCCTTTCCCACCATTGTTTTCAAGCTGATGTATATCCTTGAAGCTTTCAGAAGCTGTCAACTCCAGGAAATACTCATCTCTCTTCTGTCTCTCGTATTCTACGATCAGTATTAATGAATTAACAAAATAGGCAACTATATCGTACAAACAGAAGCTAGAATTATCATCATTTCTAATTATATACCTTTTCGTTTATGCTTTCTCTTCTTTATATACCATAAAATGCCAAAACATAGGAAAAAGAGAGGAATGACAACACTAATGAGTATCCATTCCCAATTCTTGCTCTTTTCTGTTTTGGTACCTACATATTGACTTGTTTAGATTCTAAAATGATCAGAAGGTAGCTAAAATCATTGGAAATTAACATTATTACCTGTACTTGGATTGATTGGATTTTGGTTGATCACATACTTTAAAGTAGAGTTATCATGAGGATTAACTAAAAAGTTATTACTTCCAGTCCATATAACACAGCCAGTTCCATTGATGTTACTACTATTAAACCCCACACAAGTGCAATCATTCCAACACTTAACAAAACAATCGCTAATACTTAAACTCGAGTTGTCATCAATACAAGTGAATATATGAGTCGACCCATAACCGGATACATTGAAGTTGCAACCTGTCCTACCCCAGATACGACCTGACCACCCAACCGGAGCTTGAAAAGAGCGTGCAGTACCCTTTGTTAGCTCAAATCCAGTATTGGAATCAGTCCAGCCATTGACTCCAGGCCAAACAGTGAACCCACAGTCATTTACAAAAGTAAAAGTAGTCCCTGAAAGTGCAAAAGAAATCAACATTCACCAAATGAAAGTTGGGTTTTTTTTCCTTTTGTTTTTTTACCGAAAATAAAATTCTAAAATCTATATAGAAAGATTGATGACTTCACCTTGCGACCTTGAAGTTCCACTTGCACTGCAATTTTTCTTTGTACAGTGGTAAGTTCCCTCAAGACTCGTATCAAATCATCACCTTTTTCACCTTCATCATTAAAATAACAAGCCAAACTACAAATCATTAATTTCAATTGATAAAAATTAATTTAAGGATAAAATAGATTTACCTAATATGCTATAAAAGGTCAAGTGTTCCAAATTTTCATATGATCTTGTGCAACCCTATATTGAGATCTGAGGATATGGAAATGAGGAGAGGAAGCGAGTGGTGGCAGGAGGCTTTGAACATACATTTTTGCTGTCAAATATGTGGATCATGGGGTCTGCTGTCAAAAAATCTAGGGACCACGTCTGGTTGATCAAAGCTGATTGTGATTCGCTACCGAATTCATGTATTTCAGTTCGTCTTAATCTGATGTCAAACAATCTGATCTTCCTCTATGGAGTACTGCAAATACATACAAATTGTAATATAAATATTAATAAAATATTCAATTTTTTTATATTAATTTTTTTCACTTTCATTTTCACCTGGTTTGAACCATGGAAAGATTGAAGTCATAAGGATTTGGTAGACACTCATACACTTGCTTTCAATCTGATGCTTGTAATCCGCTCTTCCAGTTTGTAAATCGAATCCAATTATCCTTTTATCAGCACCTACAGAAACCACCATCTGTTTTTGTCGCATCCCTGCAACTCCCATACTAGCTGAAGAATGCATACTTCTGTGCAACACTTTTGGTTTCCAAGAATCATCCCCGTTTTTATCACTCCATTGAACCACAACATGATCACTTCCACCAGTTACAAAAAAAGTATCTTCCCATGACATGAATGATATGGTGTTGATGATGCCCTTCGCATGTGGTTTATCTTCAAGGAAAGTTACACAGTTTTTCTCTTTTGGTTTATTCAGGTTGAGGACTGATATTTGAGGGTCGCCACCATCAGCAGTGTAGACAGCAAATAGGCTACCGCCATGTGGATGCCATGCTACATCTTCCGGCCACCTTCTGTGTTTGGTGGATGCACAGTCGGCTGTACTAAGAAGATATGCACTTGATCTGTTTTTTTTGTTTTTTTTTTTTTTTAAAACACACCAAATTAGAAACTTATAAAATCAAAGAATATGTTTCTTTCATTCCTTCACCTAAAGTTTTGGTGTCACTTGGTACACAAATTGAATTGCATAATGTTCTATTTTAGCCTTCATTTCTGATGTCAACATTAAGAACAAAAGGTTCATGAATTTTACCAACATGCCACCGGGCGTTGTCTACATATCATCTTTCGTGTCTCTTACATAAAGAAGCATCATAATACAAATTCAAAAATAGTAACATGAAACAGATAAAAGATAAAGAACATACCCTCTGGATTGAAGTTGCCACAGATTTACAAGTCCATCCAGATGGTTTGTACCTACCCTCGGGTTCAGCGGACCCCATGATCCACATATTTGACATTAGGTTTAATGCCAAAAAACCCTCGCAGTCAATTAGACATCATCAGAAACGTGTGTTCAAAGCCTTATAGTGGAGGTAACCACACGATATGATAATTGGGTTTTTTGTTATATTGAATTCAAAGATAACGAGACTAGAATATTATGATATGAGTTAATGAGAGTGCAAGTTACCGTTTTTTATTCCTTCAATAAGATCCTCACCACCCACCAAATCAGCTCCTGCAGCTCTAGCCTCATCTGCATCTGCTCCATCAGCAAACATAGCCACACGCAAGGCCTACAATCGAACCTAGGGCTTGTAAGGATGACAAAAAATCACGGGTAACAAATGTTGTGAGGAATTAGAAGCCGTAATGCCATAAATCACTAACTCTAGGATAGAAGTAGCTAGAGGAGGTGTGACACTGCAGCGATGGTCGATGATTGAACATCGATGGTCGGCATGAGTGGGAGTCAAGCAAAACCAGCGAATCGATTGAACATGGAGAATAGATTGAGGAAGGGTTATGTGATACGAACTCGAAACCCTAGTTCAAGAAATAGTCGATTTTGTGGCCCTATGAATGTAAAGTGTTCGATTTCTTGTGAGAAATGAAGCGATAGAGATCGATCTATGGAGGATGTGGGTCGTTCTTTGAGGGATGAAAAAAACCCTAGTTTCCTAGACTTTGTGAGGACGGGGTTTTCTAATTTTCAGATTCCCACAAGGTATTAAGGAGGGGACACGATGTTTGATGAGACCGATAAGAAGGAGGTCAGGAGTGGCGGAGAAGCGGATCGGAGAGAAGAGAGAAGGGGGAGAGGGGAGAGTCGACTGCGAAGATGAAAGATAGAAAGAAGGTAGAAGACAGGTTTTCAAAATTTTGGGGATTTCGTTTCCCCCTCTAAAACGCACGTTTCATTAAAATTATAAAGCGACAGGTATAGAGGACGCACGTTTAAAATAAAGCGCCCTTAATTTCTTTTCTTCAGACACTAATTTAAGGGCACACAATAATGCGCGACATAAATCCTTAAATTTTTTGAAGAGATGCCACTTTTTTAATGTCACTCTCTTTTACGTAACATAAATCAATGAGTGTTGTGGTTTGCGCGTCGTAAAATGGTCTTTCTCTTGTAGTGTATAATGTGATACATTACAATCCAAAGCTAAAAGAGGCAAATTAACTCCTTGAGCATCCAAAACTCCAAGGAAAATTACCCATCCTTGAGCATAAATCACATCCAAAAAATAATCAAGAAGTCCAAACACTTCATAAAAACGCACTTCGAAATTTCAAATCTGAATCACTTCGTAGTTCATAATCAATACCAACTCCCCCTCAAAGTCACATCGGTCTTCAATCATAAAAAATCATTCGCTAAAAATGTGAATATCCAAAAACTTTCGAATACCCATATCGAAATATATCCCCCTTTTTATAATCAAAATATGATTATAAAACCTCCAAATGAGAATAAGAAAGTGCTCAAAGTGGATTTGGCCATGCAATATATTACATATATTACATTCGATAAAAACAATGGACAATCGTTTCGATTTTGACTTTCTCTGTTTGACCCTGATACATCATTGAATCAATTGCTATCTAATTCTCCATAAACAACAAAATTCACCTCCATCACAATCGTTATCAAATAACCATATCAGTCAAAATTCACAATTTTTTTCATTAGTTCTTGAACGTTCTATCAGTTCTTAAATATCGTGCTTTCACAACGAGTTCATTAAAGCCACCAAATCATCCTTAACTTCTCAGACCAATTCAATCATCAAACAAAATTAATACTGGAACAGGATTGATTCGGTTGACTAAATCAACACATAAAATCTATCAACTCATTTTTTTTTACAGTAAAGACCTAGAATCTGAATCGATGATGAACATTTTCAAGATTCAAATTGATTCACAAACTTGAATTCACAAACAAATCGATTGAAATTGATTTGACATTCAATAAGAAAATCACAAGAAATAATAATATTGATCATTTCATATGTTGAAGACTGAATCAAGAACATAAAACAAGTTGAGTCTTTAACTCAATATTTGGAACGTGAATGAATCAATGAAATCGAGAGTAAAATTGAATGGATTCTGCTTTAAATAAAAAATCCGATCATGATAATTTCAACAATTATGAAAACAACTTGAATTTGCAGACATTTTTTATCTCAAACCACGAATCACATGAAGTCGCAAATCACATTTGACAGAAGAACAGGAAAAAGTATATAACGAATTTGATTTGAATTTGGGCTTAGAAATGGATCCATAGAACAGTAACAAATCAAAGGATTTTTGGTTGAATCAAAAGAAATTGAATCACAATGAATTTGGGCTTGGTAAATTTAAAACATTTAATTGGATCAACAAATTTAACATGAAAAGAAAATAGATCCAATGGAGAGACTCACCAAAGATTTCAAATCTTTAGTCGATTACGCAAAAATGTTGTCATTTGGGACCGTTGTTCTTGAAATAGTTTCTTAAACCTCCAAGACTCGATTTAACGTTTAAGCACACATGCATAGATAATGGAGTACAATAAATTTTGTATAAGCATGTGCATGCTTGTATACAGTACTCTCTGCCTTTCTCTCTCTCTGTCTCGCTTTCTCTCTCTCTCTCTCTCTAAATCTAAACTACTCATCTATACAAAATATGGGAGCTCTGTCAACCTACAAAGTATACTAAACTAGTATATATAAGCAAGCTCAACCCATAACGCCTACTATATGAGAAGCCTTCCTCCTTCTCTAAGACCTTCACAATCACCTTCTACATCGAATAAGGGAAAGCCTTGTAAGTCAACATCCCATGGAGAGATTTTCACCCCAACAACTGTTGGATTAGGTGTCTAAGCCCATAACTATAATTGGTATAAACTTGAATTTATAGCATCACAGTCCTTTTAGGTTGCCCTCAAAGCTAGCAATTGGACAATATTATTTTGGAGAGAGAAAAGATTTATTATTTGATTAATTAATTGAAATATATAATTTGTTAATATATTTATAAGAATAATATCTTAGTTAAAAATTATGATATTTGATTAATAGTTAGTCAGCAACTAATTAGATTTAATTTTGGGATGAATTGGATTAATCTATAGTGCAAGGGACTGTTCGGAAATTTATTGATAGTTGAGGAAAAGGCTGTAGAACCTCTTTGTAAGAGGTTGGACGAAAACTTCTAAGAAGGGCCTAGAATTTTCATCCAAGGGCTCTTGGATGGAGACTCATGGGATACTTGGTCACCATGCAAAGGGATTAGGGTTTTCTCCATAAAACCTAGCTTTGGCTCTAAGCTACCTCACCTATATAAAAAGCCTTAGCCTTCTAAAATTTGGGGACTCCTAACCCTAGAAGAGTTTTGGCCGAAATTCTCCTCCTCCCTCTCCATAATCCTTAGTTGCTAGTCTTGGGTGTGATTCCATTAGAGGCACAACAATTTTGGTGCTTGCTTCCAAAGGATTAAGAAAAAGGTGTTCATTGTTATTTAAAACAATAACAATCAAGGTAAACATTCCTAACCCTAATTTCTTAATTTTCGAAAATAACCTAGTAATCTTAGGGTTCTTAATTGTTGTTCATAGTTATATATTCAATAGAGAAAACATAGATCTTTATTAGGGTTGCATGCACACTTAAGGGTTTAAGTTTATTGTTTTGCACAAAAACCATCAGTGGTATCAGAGCGTAGGGTTTGTTTTTTGTTGAATTGTTATAATTGTTGAACTTGAACAAGGAGAAGCAAATCAGAATCATCATTCAGTTCCGCCACCACGACGTGTTGACCTACGAATTTGTTCGACCACAGCATGGTAATTGCTAATCACGACGTGGTGGACAATCCAATCCATTAAAATCCGATTTTTTGCTTATCTCATAAATTGATTAGGATAATTACCTTAAATAATGTTTTAAATGAGTAAAACTGAATAATTATCTAAGTAATTGGATATCCTTATCTTGAATTCATGATTGGTTTATTTTTAAATTAAAATTATTTTTCTTAAATTTGGAAATTTAAAATATAAACCCAAGTATTTTGAAAAAGTTTAAAAATACACACCGATAATATATGTAACATTAAACGTTTAATATTACTATATGTATAAGACTAAGTCAGTCGAACCACTAGTACGCCTCATTCACGAATCCGATCTATAAGGGGGTATAAGGAAATTGCCTATAAAATGGCGATTGAATGGGTGTCCACTCTCACTCACTGCTTCCTTGATTGATGGTGGGTCGTTAGCTGAACGGGTTTGATAGGACCAATTAATTCTCATTAATAAGTATAATGTGATTAAAATGTAACTAAACTATTTTCTTTGAATCCCAATCTTAGTTACTTTAAGAAAATGTGAATTTGTATGCTACCATGAAATTGCACATTGCACTTTATAAGTCGCTACTGGAGCATGTGTAGTTAACCGACTCACTAACAGGGACTAATAAAGAGTGGAAATGGGTGTCTCGAAAATTATCATTGATTAATGGAGCGCATGTGGTTAACCGGAACATTAAAATGAGATGATAAATGACATCGAGAGTACCAAGATAATTTGCATGGTTATTCACATCTTGTTTTTGATTCTCGGTATCCCAGTCACAAATGGAAGAGCATAATCGAGATTAAACATGCCATTGAAGAGTTTCAATGAATCTCAAAAGACCTAGGAATTTCATTAAAAACCTAATTCGTTCAAATTTCATTTTTCAATGGTGAAATTGGTAAATCGTCATTTACCTACCTTTATATAATTTACAATTAGATTATGGAATCCCTTTTCTATGTTGTGAATTATTTACTTGGATCCAAGCCTTAATATTTCATTTTGGGTGTTATATTGAGGATTATTCTTATCTAACTAAAACTACCTTTCTTTTATAGATGTCTACTCCAACTGATGGTTCTGGTTCCTCCTCCCCCTCCAACAACAACAACTTATCATTGTTGAACATCTGTTCTAAGGTGCAATTGGATGACACCAACTATAACGATTGAATGCGCAACATAAATATGGCCCTTCGTTTTGAGGACAATGAATATGTCCTCGAGAGACCATCAGATGAGATCGACGAAGATAAGGACACTCCTGAAGAAATAGTCACCTACAAGAAACACTATAATGATGCCACAAAGGTTGTGTGCATCATGGTGGCCACAATGACTCCAGAATTACAAATATATTATGAGGATTACTGGTCGTATGAGATGAACAAGTACCTTATGGAGAAATACCATAAGAGAGCTCGTCAAGAAAAGTATGAGGTGGTAAAGTCCCTCATAACGAGCAAGATGAAAGATGGAGAGTCTGTGAGCAGCCACGTATAGAGGATGCAACGATACATGGATAGGTTGATCAAGCTCAATGTGAACTTTGATGAGGAATTGGCTATTGATTTAGTCTTGCACTC